CAAAGCAGAGAAAGACCCAACTGAAAAAGAGAACTGTAGGTCAATCTCACTAATGAGCATAGATGCAAAAATCCTTACTAAGATACTGGCACATAGAATGCAGAAGATCATCAAGAAGATCGTACACCCTGACCAAGTGGATTCACCCCAGGGATGCAGGGATGGTTCAACATATGCAAATCAGTAAATGTAGTACACTATATTAATAGAGCCAAGGACAAAAACCATATGATCATCTCATATGATACAATAGTAGTGGGGGACTACTATGGATGATGCAGAAAAGTCATTAGATAAAATCCATCACACAATGATGATAAAAAGAAAACCCTACAAAAAACTGGAATAGACAGTATCTACCTCAATCTGATAAAAGTCATGTATGAAAAACCAACTGCCATTATCATACTAAATGGTCAAAAACTGAAATCCTTCACACTAAAATCAGGAACAAGACAAGAATATTCACTATCACCATTTCTGTTCGATGTAGCTTTAGTTTAGCCACAGCAATTAGAAAAGAGAAAGTAGTAAAGGGAATAAAGATAGGAAACAAAACATCAAATTGTGATTATTTGCAGATGACATGATACTCTATATAGAAATCCCCAAGAACTCCACCAAAAGTCTTCTAGACCTAATAACCAAATTAAGTAAAGTAGCTGAATACAAGGTCAACACACAACAATCAATAGCTTTCCTGTCCACAATCAACAGATTCACTGATAAAGGAACTAGAGAAACAACTCCTTTCACACTACCATCAAAAAAATGAAATACCTAGGAATCAACCTAAGGGAAGAAATCAAAGACCTCTACTCTGAAAAATGAGATTGAAAAATGATCTCAGAAAATGGAAAGATATCCCTTGCTCCTGGGTGGGAAGAATCAACATAGTCAAAATGTCCTTACTTCCAAAATGGCTGTGTAGATTCAATGCAATCCCAATTGAAATTCCAGGAGCATACTTCACAGATATCGCAAAAACAGTCCAAAAACTCATTTGGAACAAGAACAGACCTAAAATAGCAAACACAAATCTAGACCATAAAGACAAGGCAGGGGGTATCACAATCACCAACTGGAAACTATACTGCAAAGCTACTGTGATCAAAACAGCAGGACCAGTGGAACAGATTAGAACTTGCAGAAACAACTCCAGACACACTCAGCCACCTCATCTTCGACAAAGGAGCCAAACACCCTCACTGAAGGAAAGATAGACTCTTTAAGAAATGGTGCTGGAAAAACTGGGTTTCAACTTGCCAAAGATTAAAACTAGACCTTTATCTCTCACCAGGCACTAAACTAAAATTGCAATGGATTAAAGACCTAAATATTAAAACAGAAACACTAAACCACCTGGAAAGAAGTTAGGTAGAACTCTTGAAGATATTGGCATAGGAAAAGACTTTATGAACAAAACCTCAGTTGCACATGAACTACCACAGAGAATCAACAAGTGGGACCTCTTCTTATTAAAAAACTTCTGCACAGCAAGAAAAACCAACAGAGTGAAGAGACAACCCACAGTGTGAGAAAAAAATTTACCAGCTGTTCTTCTGATAAAGGTCTACTATCTCAAATATACAAAGAACTCAAAAAACAATCAGACCTTCCAAATTGAAAGACCCAATCCAAAAATTGGCATCTGAAATGAGCAAACATTTCTCAAACAAAGAAGTAGACATAGAAAATAAACATTTGAGAACATGTCCGACATCACTGGTCTTTTGAGACATGCAAATGAAAACAACACTGAGATTCCACCTCACCCCACAAGGAATGGCTGCTATCAAGAAATCAACCAATAGCAAATGCTGGGGGCTGTGAGGAGAAGAAACACTGCTCCACTGCTGGTGGGAGTGCAGACTGGTGCGACCACCGTGGAAATCAGTATGGAGAAATCTCAAAGAACTAGGATTGGAAGTCCCATTTGACCCAGCTATTCCCCTGCTGGGTATCTTCCCCAAAGAATTAAAAGAATCACACCACAGTGACATATGGGCATCCACTTTCATAGCAGTACAATTTGTAATAGCTAAAACTTGGTAGCAGCTGAATTGCCCATCAACTAGAAACTCTTTTTTTAATATATAAAACGGAATACTACTCCGCCATAAAAATGATAAATTAGAGACATTTATAGCTAAATGGAGGCACATCAGGGCAATACTCTTAAGTGAAATAAATAGGACACACACATGTAAATACTGAATAGTTTCTCTAGTGTGAGAAACTGAAAGAGTAAATAAGGACTAAAAGGTATAATAGATAATTTGAAATTGGAAGAAAAGGTGAAAAAGGGAAGGGAAGGTAGGAGGGGTGGGGGAAAGGAAAGAGGGAATAGAATTAACATGACAATAAAAAATGGAAACAAAGACTCTGTAGATGGGGAGGGATGGAGGGGTTTAAGGGAGGGCAGGGGAGTGGGAAAAAATAAGAACCAAGATGGATTGCTTAAAAGGTGCAAATTTCCTGGAATGAATGTCGTTATATTGTATACCTTAAATGTACCAATAAAATGAATTTTTAAATAAAATCAAATCAATACAGTGTCACTGCATACCTATGAGCACAGCTAACATAAAAATAATGGCAATGTGAAAGCTGGTGAAGGGAAGGAGAAACAGAATGATTCCTTGTGTAGTAGGAAGATGGAAACGCCACTCTGGAAGAAATTAGGCTGTTTTTAAAAAACTAAACTTACAGTACAACCTACCAATTGCATCCTCAGCATTTATCGTAGAGAAATGAAACTTATGATGACAGAAAAACCAAGACACTGGTATTCACAGCAGTCTTACTAATAACAGACCAAAGCTGGAAGCAGACCTAACATTCTCAAAAAGGAAAGGTGAAGCAAACTGTGATGTATCCATAGCTTGGAAGACTACAGAGAAAAGAGAAAAAAAGAGAAAGGAATAAACTTGTGATGCCTGCAGCAAACTGCATAAAAACAGAATAACCCAAAAGATGGCTATTATATGATCCTATTTATGTAACATTTTGGGAAAACATAATTATAAGGATGCTAACAGATTAGGGGTGGGAAGAGGGTTGGTGTGAGGTACCATGGTTGGTGGGGTGGTTACACAAATCTACATATCATAAAAATTACATCAGAACACACACACACACACACACACCACAGCATGCATGTGTGATCTGAATAAGTTCTGTGGGCTATTCTGAGGTCACTCCTGGTTTTGACGTTGTGTTGCAGTTTGGAATCAAATGAAACGTATTTGAAAGTAATAAGAAGCAATGAAAAAGCCAAAAGTGTATCGCAGGATTCACGCAAAAGAAAGCAAGAAGTACAGAAAAAGCAGAATCCAAGACACATTATTAAACAGTTATTTCACACTGGTAAAAGTTATGGACACAAAAGAAAATGTGTGAAAAAAAATTTGAGAAAACTGCAGCAAACTACAACCGTAGTGGGAGAATTTAACACGGTAGTGTCATTTGGTGAGTCTTGTAGACTAAATATTTGATTTATGTGCACTGGAATAGTTTCCAAAATGTATCATCATCTCAGCAAAATACCTCATAATTCCAAAAAGTAACTGGGGGTGGGTGGTGGAAGCAGGAGAATGTGAGCTCAAAGCTAGCCCAGGAATTACAGAAAGACTCTGCCCGAAAATGAAATGTTTTTTTTTAATTCCAAAGGTAGAAAAATTTTTTAAATTTTTATTAGTATACATTTGTGATACATACGGAATATATGTGCATTGTGGTATATTTGTGCATATATAAAAATATTGCACCTTGGTCCCTTTTACTTCCCTTTCCTATCCTCTTCCTCCTATCCCAGCATTCCCAAAATCCTTTCCACCTCTAAACTCCGCCTCCCGGTTTCCCATCATCTTTCTTTTATTTTGCTCTTTAAATTATTTATACTTTGGATTTCTTATGTAAGAGTAACCATGCAATGTTTCACCTACTGTGTCAGGCTTATTTCTTTAGCATTATGAACTCAAGGTGCATCATTTCCTGCAAATGACTAACATATACTTCTTTAAGACAGATAATATAGACACATAGATATTCCTTTATCCACTCATCTGCAGATGGGCAAATAGGCCACTTCCGAGATTTAGCTATTATGAGTTGTGCTGCTATAAACACAGGAGTAAATATGTCACTGTGATATGATGTCTAACTTCTCCAGGAAGATACCCAGAAAACAAAGTGCTGGAATTTTTATTTTTAGCTTTTCTGCAGTCATTGCACTAGTTTACATTTCCACCAGCGACATAGAAGAGTTGCCTTTTCCGACAACCTTGCCGGCATTCATTGTTTTGTGAATTCCTGACCATGGTCTTCCTTTCTGGAATAAGATGGGGTCTCAGTGTTGTTTTGATATCAAAAGCAGAAATGTAAAAGTCCACAGCCTATGACTATTTTGTCTTAAATGATTCACCAAAAGTTATAATTAAAAATAAAAGGTAAATAATATGCAAAATTTTATCAGGCCTATTGGTAAAATGAAACAGCTGGGGAAATTTCTAAAATGAGATAATTTCCTTAATTTTTATTCATCAAAATTAATTTATTTGAAAATCACAATATAAGGGATAGTTCTCTGAGGCAAGATATACCACCAAACTTGAAGCTGAACAGATTAACTTAGCAGTAACTTCAGAATAATGTAACAAATGATTCCCAAAATATGCATGTGATCAAAATTGTTTGAAAGGAAAATTCTATTTATGCAAGCATATATAAAAATAATGACATTCAAGAGAGTACAACGGTTAAATAAAAGAATGAAAAAGTTCTCAGTTTATTTTACTAACATATGATAGCTGTAATTACGACAAATTCAACACACAAATACATGTGCACACACACTCAAGCCCATAGAGTTACTTTTGGTGGAAATATAAATTAATGCAACTTTTCCAGAGAGCATACATTTAAATATTCATAAGTTCCACTGAAAAAATTTCCCCTATGGTGATAATGTTGAATAATTATTTGTATAAGAATGCTCAGTGCTCCTTTTGGTGGCACATATCCCAAATTTAGAGTGATACAGGGAAGATTAGCATGGCCCCTAGCAAGAATGCAATGCAAATTTGCAAAGCATTCCATATTTTTATGGCCAGAGAGTGATTAATGGGTACAGAAGTCCAGTTAGATAGGATGAATGTTCTAAAGATCAGTAAGAAAACAACTATTCATAAAAATTAACTGTATATTTCAAACTAGCTAACAGAGAAGATTTTGAATGTCCCCAACAAAAAGAAGTGTTTGCAGTAATGGATACACCAATTATCATAAGCTTAGCATTTCACACAGTGCAAATGTATTTGAATATCACACTGTATCCCATAAATATGTGCAATTATTATGGCTCAATTAAAATACTTTTTAAAATGCTAAAAGGGAAAAAGAATAGTTACAGTGGCCTTGTGAGCAACAAAACATGCAAAATACAAAATTGGAAAACATTCTAATTTTACTGAGATTTCTTTTTCAGTCACCTCAAATTCCTTGATGTGTTTCCTATTAAGTAGAATCTACTTCTGTCCTCTTGAATTGGGGTCTGCTTATGGGAGAGGATCACACGCGCACACACACACACACACACACACACACACACACACACACACACACTATGGAATGGAGGCTGTATGAGTCCCAAAGAAGCATCAAGAAAACCCGTATAGCAGGGGATGTAGCTCAGGGGTTCCACCACATGCTTCGCAAATGCAAGGACCCGAGTTTGATCCCTGGTACAAAAAGAAAGAAAGAAAGAGAGAGAGGGAGGGAAGAAAGAAAGAAAACCCATATACCCATGTAACTTCCGCCAGGTGCTCTAGAGCACTGAACTGTCAGGAAACAAGCTCAGCCATCAAAACCACTATCCAGGGAGAGCAGTCCCAGCTTAGCATGGCCTCCCCACAGCCCTTCTCCTCAAGATGCTGCAGGCGGAAGTGCCGCCGTCTTCTCAGTGGACCTGTGTACCTCCAAGCTGAGTCAGCTCTCCTCCTGCTAATGTCTTCACCATCACCCAGCAGAACAGCCGTCACACTGCCTGACCTCACGATCCTCCCAGTAGATGAACATTTACAAAGTGGCTGGCGTTTTATGCTGTTAAGATTAGGGCAACTTGTGAGCATTAGTAATTGGAACAACTGTCAGTTAAAGAATTTGTTAACTAAATGGTAATGGGATTCTATGGCAGCATCAAAAATGATAGTGTGCTTACAATAATTAATATAGGAAAATGAGAGCAGACCGTCTGAAATATTTATACACTCACTGGTGAGGGGAGAAGGTGCGCAGAGATATATTGGAAGGAAAATCTCCCAAAGGGGATGATTATTTGCCTTTGCATAGGGAGATGATTTTTGGTTGTTACTCCATTCTTTAGCTCTTCCTCTTGTGCTACAGTTTTCTATTCCTTTTCCCAGCTGTATCATCCTCCTGGTGCTGAGTATTGGTTGATGAATATCTTGCAAGTTGTCCCTTTTCCTGGAAAGCTGCCCTTGGTCAAAAGGAAGTCTTATTGCCAGAGAACCAGTTCACATCCCTAGATCTCAGCCAATGACTGATGAAAACAAGGAAGTCAAAGCCAGCATTCTTGCTTCAAGGGACACCCAGCTTTGTAACGCCATTTATACTCCAGAACTTCCTGTGGGGTCTGACTGAAGCTGGTCTCCAGATGAAACTGTATTTTTGCTTAATTTTCACCCCTGTTTTTTTCCTAATACCCTCAGTCCTCTCCCAGTCCTCCCGGGGCACTTTCCTTCCCTGTGGACCACCTGAAGAATTCTGAGGTTTGGCTTCTGCAGAGCCCACCCTAAGACGAATAGGTGTTATTTTTATGAACAAGCAATAACAAAACCAGAAATGTATTCAGTTAGTCACATCGAAGACAATATGTAGTTATTGGCAACTTTATCAATTAGACATAAGATCTCTAGCTATAATTAAAGTTTTCCATAGCTCAGAAGAAGGGACCAAGACCTCAGTCACAGTGGTCTCCCTTGTTTCACAATGTCAGTGCGAGTGCTGGCCAGTTAGACTTTTAGAAAAACCCAGCCCATGCCGCACTTCCTTCTCTAGAAATGATCCTGTCTTCTCGTGGAAGTTTTCCGTTTTCCTTCTCTCCCTACCTCACTACCAGAGAACTGCTTTGTGCTTGGCGATGTTCAAGCCACCAAATCTCCAGCAAAAACATCCGGGGCAGATGACAGACTGCTTCCGGTTTCTCAAGGAGCAACTAGAAAAAGCGCTAACTTCAGGACATTCAGTGCTCCTGGGACAAACGTGGAACTCACTTGGGTCATCCCTTCAGGGGCTCTGATCTTGCTTGTCAGCCCATTGAGTACAAAGTACAGAAACTTTGGACCAAAACTTTTAAGGTTTTAACAGATGTCTCCTGGGAACGGGCTACAGACAAAAGATGCGTGAAGAAATCATATAGGGCAACTAATCTCCCCTCCTGTCCCACCTGAGCAGATGAGAGGGAAAGGGGCCCTACTCCGTTTCCCAGTTCCCTGGGGTATCCAGTCTCCCTCCCTTCGCTGCTCTACACCTTTACATTTTCTTTGAGGATGTGCAGTGTTGGAATGAATGATGATGGAATCACTCTAAAATTAATACTAAATGAAGACAAAACTTTCTTCACTTATGAAGATTTTTTAAAAAAAGAAAGACAATACATCCTGTTATATAAATGATGAGGAAATATAAGTATTCTCTAAAAACAAATGAAAACTAGACATGATGATATAACAATATGTATACTAAATATATATATATATCAAACCATTCTTTCATTTATTTTATTAGAGCATGTTAGTAATAGAAAATGGTGAGGTTTATTTTGAGTACTTGGTATGTGCTTTTTACCTTACCCTCCTCACCCTTTCTTCCCCTTTCCCTAATCCCCTTTTCCTCTCCAAAAATGTATCTTCTAGTTCCCTATTATCTCTCTTTCGTGTATTTCATTATGGAATTAATGAGGCTTCTCATAAGGTAAATCATATGATCCTTAACTTTCTGAGTCTGATTTTTCTTAGCCTGAAGAGCTCCAGTTCTATCCATTGGCATGCAAATGACACAATTCCATTCTTTATGGCTGAATGCTATTTCGCTGTGTGTATGTGCCCCATTTTCTTTATGAATCTATCTGTTGATGGGCATCTAGGCTACTTCCACAGCTTGGCCATTGTTATTTGCACTGCCGTAAACATGGGATGCATGTGTCACTATAGCATGGTGTCTTTAATTCTTTGAGGAATATACACAGCAGAGGTGTAAGTGAATCAAGTGGTATTTTGAGTTCAGTTTTTCAGAGAACCTCCATCGGGATGTCCATAGTGACTGCACTAATTTACATTCCCACCCACAATGTAGGATCGCTCCCTCCCCCCAACTCCACGCCCACATCCACACCAGTATTCATTATTTTTGTTTTCTTGACAGTCATTCTGACTGAGGGAGACGGAATCTCAAAGCAGTTCTGATTTGCATTTCCCCAGTGGATAAATATGTTGGACATTTTAATACACCTGTTGGTCATTTGTACATCTTTTGAGAAGTGTCTATTCAGTTCATTTGCCTATTTTTTAATTGGGTTAATTTTTCAGAAGTTGAATTTTTGAGGGGTTTATGCATTCTAGAGATTAATCCTTATCAGAAGAGTAACTAAAAAGTTTATTTCTCATTCTTTAGGATATCTCTTCACTCTCTTAATGTTTTTTGTTGTTGTACAGAAGTTTTGTTTTTTTTTTTTTAGTATAATCTCATTCATTGAACCACAACGTTATTTCTTGTGCTATCACAGTTCTTTTCAGGAAATCTTTGCCTGAGCTTATGACCTCAAATGTTATCTTCCAGCAATTTCAAAGTTTCTGCTTTTGTGTCTAGATTTTGATCCATTTTGGCTTGATTTTAGTACTGGATGAGAAAATGAGATGTGGTTTCAATCTTCTGCATGTGGATATCCAGTTTTCTCACATCATTTATTAAAGAAGCTCTCCTTTCCCCAGCATGTGTGGACAACTTTGTCAAAAATCAGACGTCTGCAGGTACAGAGGACTTTCTGTATCTCCTGATATTACCCATTATTCTACTGGCCTGTTTTTGTGTTATTACCACATTGTTTTTGATACCTTAGCTTTGTAGTATCACTTGAAATTCAGTATTATAACTCCTTTGACTTTGCTCTTTTTGCTCAGGATTTCCTTGCCAATTCTGGATCTTGATTCCTTTTATAATTGTTTTTTCTAGTTCTGTGAAGCATACTGTATGTCTTTCAATGCAGATTGCATTGGGTAGGTTGCTATTGGTAATATAACCATTTTTATAATATTCATTCTTCCAATCCATGAACAAGAGAGTTAATTCAATTTTCTAAAGTCTTCTTCAATTTCTTTTTTCAGTATTCTGCAATTTTCATTGGAAAAGTAAAATTCCTTGGTTGAGTTGATCCTTAAATTTTTTTTTCTCATTGAGTTTATTGGTACATTTTAGGTATAGAGTACAGTTACATTTATCATTGGGATCTTGTACCTTTACATGACAGGTCTTGGTTCTCATTTTTCCCCTTATCCCTGCCCACCCTTCACCCCCTCCTCCCTTCCCTATTTACAAATATTCTATTTCCATGTTTTCATTTTCTCATGGTTTTTTTTCCTTTTCCCTTATTATCTTTCCTCTACCCTTCCCATGTCCAATACACCTTTATCCCTTTTCTTCCTATTTCACATCATGTCGTTAGGATCTTATGTACTACCATAGCTTTTCACACCAGAGAAACTATTTGGTATTTACACGTGTGTGACTTATATATTTCACTTAGGAGTATATCCTCAATATGTATCCATTTTCCTATGACTGAATCTAATTTCTCATTCTTTATGGCTGAATAGTATTCCATTCTATAGAAAAACCACATCTTCTTTATCCAGTCTCCAACTGATGGGCAAATGGACTGTTTCCAACTTTTAGCTATTACAGACTGTGCTGCTACAAACATAGGTGCGCATATATCACTGTGATATGATTCTTTTCATTCTTTTCGAAAGATACCCAGCAGAGGGATGGCTGGGTCAAATGGAACCTCTATTGCCAGCTCTTTGCGG